GGGAGCTGGCTGTAGTTGGGGAGGGGGTAGGAGCGGGGACTGGGGTCACTGGGGACAGCACTGGGGAAGAGGGGAAGGAGCCTGCTGCCATGTCCCAGTTATCCATAACTCTTCTTCCCCATCGCCTCCATTTAGTGTTCATAAAGCACCCGTAGCTCTGGCATCTCCCCTGCATCTCCGGGTGTTTGCCTGCAACCCCCATCAGCTCTCAGTGCTGGTGTTGCTGATTCAGGTCTCTTGGCCCGTGGGAGTGGGCGCTGTGTGGCCAGCGCAGTGGGAGAGCAGCTGCGTGGCGGCCCCGGCTCACGCAGACACGGCACAGGGGAGAGGAGCGAGTCACTGCTCGTCTAATCCACTCTGGCAGGATTTCCTCTCTAGTGGCAGAATCAAAGTCTTTCTAAATCGATAACGAGTGCAAAGTGTTATTAGCGTAGTGGGAATAACTTACAAGAAGAATATTATTGAGTGCTCTGAACATGTCCATAGGTGATTCTTCCTTTAGAGGAATTATTTTTAAGAGGTTAGAGTTCTTCAGGTTGTGTGGTTTCACTGAAAATGAAACTCGGGTCTTTAGAGGCTTGGTTGTGAACAGCATCAGGTTTGTTGTTTGTGATTTGAGTTACCTTTGCTGGCTGATTCCTTGTTTTGAGTTCATGGTTCAGCTTTTCTGTGGCTGGAAGAGCACATAGTTATTGTTGACATGAATAGTTGTGTGTGCAAATGTAACGCTGCATTTCTGTGCCAAGGGAAAAAATATTGCATTAATAGGACATTGACTTCAGCAAAAACTTCTGTAATCAAAGAAAAACCAGTTACTCTTGCTTTCAAAGAGGGGCAATCTTTAGGACTGGGGTTCGCAGGTGCACCTTTACAAAAAGGGAGGGGGGGCGGAAATCAGCCCAGATCCTGGTGACTAGTGATTTGTTTCCACCAGTGGTAACAGGTGAACTGGGAAGCTCAAAATTTAGGCTTCAGATGGACTCTTAACCTGCTCTGGTGCGAGCCCAGGTGTGCTGACAGGATGAAGTTCAGCTGCATCTGTGCCTGTTCCTTACCTAGCCTAACGATAGACAGCTTTGTGCTCCCAAGTGATGTGCCAGCCCACAAATTACCTTAATGGTGCTGAAAGATTGAGGTGGCAGAAGGGAGGTGATCACAGGAGGAAGAAGTTGCTGACCCTTTATGGCAACCAGAATTATTAGCAGAAAGTCTCCCTCTCCTGTGCCTCTGTGTCCATGCAGCGCCTAGTGTGCCTGACCATGACTTGTGCTTCTTGGCCCTGCTGTAATACAATACTCAAAGAGAATGTGTTGTTTTAAGGCATTTGCTGTAATTTATTTCTGCCATAATTTTATCACACCATGGTTTGCTGACCAGCTTTTTGAAAACTAGTTGATGTGTGGTTATGGAAAAGAATTGGTAGTCTGAACTGCTGTTTCCTTTCCCTAATGACCAGCTGTCCCCCTTAGTCCAGTAATGCATCTTTGTGCCTGCTCTGCTTTGCAGATTGTTGGAATAGATATTTTTTTACCTCTGCTGTAATTCTACCTGCTGCCAGACTATGACAAAGAGCAGCATAGTTGATGCAAGCACCAAAACAAAGCCATGCAAAATTGAAACAATGGCCACACAGCTGAATTTCTTACCTCTGACACCCTCGTTAGACATCAAAGGTGTATCACCTGCTCTGTGGGAGATGCTTGTTGTCTTACAATTTAGAAAGTTCTTTCCCTTTTAAAATCCATGTTTTCTGTACTTGGGAAATGGCAAATGAAGACTGAAAGATGAGGAAATTGTAAATGACTGTTAATCCAGCAGTAACCCAGTAAGATAGTTAAACCTGCACACCAGCAGCTTTCCTGCAGGGAGAAAGGGAGTGACTCAGAGAATATATTGAGGTCTTATTTTATGAAGAATTAAGAAACAAAACCTATTGATTTATATTAGGCAGCTGTTAAGCAACAAGAGCAAAAGTTGCTTTGTTTTATTATGCTCAGTGCTGTGTGTGAATGCATGAAAATAATCTCCTGAGGCAGTTGGCTTTCAGGGAAAAGCTATTGAGTCTGCAACTTCAAAACTGTTTGATACCATCTGTTGTATACATGGAAGCTAATGGTCTCTCGCTGCTTTAAAAAAAGTGTTTACCTAAGTTACCTAAGTGTTTATTACAAATTAATGGACCCTTTCATTATGTATGCTAGGACATTCTGACTTCAGAGTGAATTAGTGGCATGCCAGTGTGCACCCAACTCTGAATCAATTTGTTCTGTATTAATTGCTGTGCTTCAAAGATATCTTTGTTGGTAACTCCTGACAAGAGTCAGCTTCTTTGTGGATAGAATTAAAACTTCAGGGCTCTTCTATAAATTAAGCCTCCTATCAGCTGACAGTCCTGATATGCTTTGGGACTCCTTTGGCTCAGTTATGCTGAGATGGAAGAACGTGGCCTGAATACTTAGGCAGTAGGTTCATGAAATAATGTAAGTCTATTGTCTGAACTGCTGAGTGAGTTGTATGAATATTTATTAGATATAAATTTGGAGTGCTTTATAAATTAAAAACAAACCAAAAATGTGCTTTGGCTTTTTAAGCCACTTACAGCCTGTAACACAGTTGTCTTTCTCTACAACTGTTACATGGGAATGCTGTTACAAAAGCATTGTCATTTCATAATTAGGCTGGTACAGTAAGGCAGCCAGGTGACTGCCTCTTGGGAGAATAATTAAATGGTCTGTGATGAAAACTGAGGATAAGTAAACTTGGCGTGAGTCAGAGGGAGTACAATCAACTGATAAGAGCAAACTCACCCTGCAAATGCTTTATGTGCACAGCACAGCTTTTGAGTGTTGCCTTTGGTAAAGCTGTTATATTGATTTCTAACTTTATCTCTCTTTTTTTCAGGCTGACCTAAACTGAATTTTTTCTAAACATCATGGGAGAGATTAAAGTCTCTCCTGACTATAACTGGTTCAGAAGCACAGTTCCTCTTAAAAAGGTACGTACAGCTGTAATCAACTTGTGGGTGAAATGTCTCCTCTTGCTTTGTAGTGGGAGAGACTAAGCTGTTTGGTTAATGCAGAACAGTTGTGGCTCTGCTAGTGACCTGGCTTATCTCCTGAACTGTTGTCCCACGTGTCATGTGAGTGCATGAAGGCATGCTCTTAATTTTTACATGCTTCTCGGAGGTCACTTCTGCATGTGGTGGTGGGGAGCAGAGCCTCGCAATTGTGAGCCACAACAGCAGTACCTGGCATCCTGATGCCAGCCATGCCTGAGGAGGAGACTCTGAGGAGATGGTGCGTGCTGGGGACCACGTGCGTGGCCTCCTGCAGAGCTGCCTGTGTGCACTGCGCTGCACCAAGGCAGGGCAGCTGCCATGCGGCTGGAGCCACCTCTGGCCATTCCTACCCATCGGCCTCAGGCTGAAGCAGAGCATCTGAAGGCAACTTCTCGGCAGTCGGGCTGCATGCAGGGTTCCCGAGAGTGGAAAGATGCCTTAACCACGGTGGAAAAAACCAAGTGGGTTCTTCCGCTGCGTGTCCTTTAGATGTCTTCTGCTTAATCACGCTGTCCAACCACTTTCTCCTCTCGCTTGGATTTCTCCACTTCCTTTCACTGAACCACAGGAGAGTGTTTGAGGTGTGCAGTGCCCCAACTTGTCGTCTCTACGTGCCGAGCAGCAGAGGGCATGGAGTGCAGTACTAGTACGTAGCTCCTGACCTGGACTAGCTCTCACATACCTTTGCAGATAAGGATTGCTGGGGCTGTGGTTACAGACTAACCTGCAGCAGCAGCCCAGACTCCTGCTGGACTGAAGGCCAGTCTTGCCTTTACACCCCAACCTGCTGCTCCTGCAAGCACAGTTGCTCATATAACCACACAAGCTGAGCAGAGTCAGTGACCTGTCTTGATTTGGGGTGTTTTATAGCTTGTTTTGGTGCTGACTTCCAGCTGGTTCAGTTCCCTAATCTGGATGGCTGTGTGGGCTGCAGGAACAGGGGGATGGTGCTGGCAGCAGAGGCAAAAGCAGCATTACCTCTTTCAACAGCAAGTTGGTTGCAGTTGGGCCACTCGAAAGGGACTGTGTCCCCAAACCTAGGGAACAACGCTTCAATGTGCCTAGCATTATTTCCACTGAGTGGTGTGTAGCTTTCTCTAAGAAATTACCTTTATGGAAGGGCTGTAGGATTTTCCGTTCAGGGTTTCTCATTCATTTTTGCCAGTTTGTGTCTTCAGTAAATAAAAAAGATCCATTGCTGTTGACTGTGCATGCTCTGTCTAGGCTCTGACTGTCCAGCTTCTTTCTGTTTCTGGCCAGTACCAGATCTGCTGGGTCTATTTGTGCCATGCTGTTGCCTGCAGGCAACGCCTCACCGGGTCAGCGAAGCCGGGAGGCAGCATTTCAGCATAAAGACATGTGGGTGCTCCGAGGCGCTGCTTTATGGGATGCAGTACGGTAAATGAAAGGAGCTGGAGGCTGTGGTTACAGCAGAACGCATTGCTGCTGCTGTGGGGACCGTGTGACACTGCAGCTAACTGCCAGGGGCCACTGCCTTCAGCTGCTGCTGACTACTCAGGATTTCATAATGGGAACACGTGTAAACTGAAGCTGCTGGTGGCCTGGTGACCTTCAGACTAGGGAATACCTTACCCTCTTGAGTGATTCGGTCTACTCTAAAGTGATGCCACAGTGATGCGTGTGGGGTATGAAGGAGGTAGAAATAAACAAACTAGTCCTGGTTTCTGGAGAGAGAAGGAAAAAAAGTACAATTTGAAGATGTGATTAATCGCTGAAGCAGTCTTTAGGGATACATTTGCTTGCATCATCCCCCCAAAAGTATAGGCAAAGTACGTGCAGTACAGAGGGAAGAATGACCAACCATCATTACCACTGGTAAGCATGCGTTACTGCAGTCAGATCGACCTAAGGAAGCAGAGCCAGAGCTGGCTGTTTGAAAACGGGCTGAGATGTTCCTCCTGACAGGAGCAGGAAATGCCCAGCTCTGTCGCCCTTCCTGCTCTTGTCAGATATAGGAAGTACAGCACAGAAAATAACATTTTTAAATGAAGTCTTTAGCTTTGCCTGTGAGCCTCCATTTGCATACACCACTTGCCGTCTTTGCTAAGTCCTTCCTAAAAGTCTTCAGCAGGGGACACCCTGGCTCTGCTAAACTCAAGGGAAGTTTTGCCCCTTGTTTCAATGCACTGCAGATTTTACCCTTTATGTAAACTGTAGGTGATCTTGATTGATCTATGAGAACAAGAAAAAGGTTGGTGACTATCAAATCAGCAGTGAACCACGCTGCTGTCTGCCTACGCAGTGCTTAGCCTTGTTTTCGAGCTGCAGTTAAACTATCCAGTATGTGGCTAGAAATCAAATAGAACAATTGTCTAAACCCATTGATTCATTGTCTGGGCTCGAGGAAAGAAACGTTATCTCTCAGCCTCGGTTCCTTGATGTGAACTAACTTTGGTTTTGTGATTTCAAGGAGTATGGTTCACCTTTGGAAATATTCTCAGCTGGAAACAGTTGAGAACAGCAAGGCCTGGAGCTCTTGAGTTGTGTGCAAAGGGTTGGTTTTGGGGGGGGTTGAGAAGGCTTTTGTACAAGGTTTATTTTTAAATGGTTTCAGTGGTCTGGAAGCTGTGGTATGCAATCTGTCTTTTTTTTTTTTTTAAGAGACTTTACAAAACAACAGTATCATGTGATTTCTCACATGCTCCCAGAGCCTGAAATACTGGCTTTATTACAAGCAGATTTGTTAGTCAAGCAAATCTGGTTTGTGATATGCTGTTCTCCTCTGATTCCCTGAGCAGCTTAACTGCGGTGATGGAGAAGTGAATTGTGCTTGTATATTGCTATTCAAAAAGCTATAAATCTTGATACAGAGGAGATGAATTCCCGCTCTGTGACGCAGGCTTTCCCCAGAGGTTTGTGCTTGTTGATCTGGTATGAGCTGCATGCTTTTGCTGGGTTGTAGAGGGTTGAAAGAGCATCCTAAATATACACAACAGTTTGCCTGTAGAACAGGCCCCGAAAAAACAAGTCAGGCTCCAGCATTGCTAGAAAAGACGACCTTTATCTACTTCCCATACCTTTAAAGATACTAATTGTTCTAGGACTTCTAACTTCTTCCCTGAGGTGGGCACTGTATGAGAAACTGCTCGTTAAGGATAGCAGCTCGCGTGCAAATAATCTGCTTCAGCCAGCCGCGCGTCCTAGGCACTCCAGATGCTCCTGAGATGCTGCCAGATGATGGAAGCGGTTTTCTTTCCAGGTCAGCTTTGCAGTGCTGCTTTGGGAGTTGTGTGCGTCTCTGTTTCTGGCAGCTGGCTGTAACCGTTTCAGATCAATAATTTGTGGTGTTAGCTGCTTAATTCAGTAGGCTTGCATGTATCCAGACCTGTAAAATCTTTTGCATGCAAACCTAGATGGTTGTTTAAAAAGCAGCCCCCGGAGGCAGTGCTGGCTCTTCCAGCCTACGGCTGTTGCTCTCGTACCTTGAACTGACCTCCTGGGTCTCTCCTGGGTCATACCACGGTGGCTCCTTTCCCAAGCGTATTTTTCTGCATGTGGAATGTTGCATAAACCTGATCCTTTGGGACACAGTCTTGCTGTTCCTATGATTTATTTCTGTATGAATTCTTAGGTCCAGATGTACCATCGTTCTGACTAAGGCCCTCTGAGTTGAAATCCAGAGCAAAGCATTGCAAACTTTAGCTAACAGCACTTCCTCAGAAAGGAAGAGATTTTTTTTTTTCCAGGTGTAATTTCTGAAGTGCAGTCCATCACTGTAAAACCAACATAATTCATTACTTTCAGTTCTCCAGTTGTCTGCAGGATGAGCTCCCATAAGACACCACGTATTGCGCTGCCGCTGACTCTGCGCGGTGCAGCGTTCGTTATCCAGCTTATATCAGGACACACAAAGCATTTGGTCTGACAGTGCGTGGCCGCAGTTCTGTTTCCAGCAGTATTCACACAAACATCGTAATTCCAGTTAGTAAACAGCCTTAGAGAAGACAGCTATTGTGAAGAAGAGTGAAAGATGATCTTGTTCAAGGGGGTCTTGAACATATTTACTAGATGACAGAAATTTTGTAGAAGCAATCCTGGAAGCTGGCTGAAGAACCTCATTTTCTTGTGTGTTTCTTCTCCCCTCTGTGCCTCTCTTTTTCCAGATAATAGTAGATGATGACGACAGTAAAGTCTGGTCGCTGTATGATGCAGGACCTAGGAGCATTCGGTGCCCACTCATATTTCTCCCTCCTGTAAGTGGAACTGCAGATGTGTTTTTCCAGCAAATTTTGGCGCTCACTGGGTGGGGCTACAGAGTTATCGCTGTGAGTATTCTCAGTCCTGTGTCAAAGTTCGCGTACTTGTGCTTGTTGCTCTAATCAGAGGTTGGATAATGGAGATGAACTTCTTAGTGTTGACTAAGGAGAATCCACAAAAAAACTGCTTTTAAATTGTACTCCAGAGTCTGTAGCGTGCAGATCCAGGCTGAAATCTGTTGGTTTATGGCAGCCTTTACCCAAAGCCTTGTGCATAGACTTTATTAACTTCTCGGTCTGTTTTCTCCCTTGTGTGACCTGGACACCAGTCATCTTTGCCTCCAGCTGGATCTTTGTTAGCCATGAGGCAAGCGTATGGGTTCATTCAGGGTTTCTGGGTAGGGCTGGTGGATAACCTGGTTCTTAGCCTGCATAGCTGCAAATGCTAAGTCACGCCATCTTAAAATCCTAACAGCATGCTCTTTTGTGGCTTCTCAGCTCCTGAACTGAACTGAAATGATTGATTTCTACACAATATTTCTGCTAAACAGTATGGCTTTGGGAGTCGTGTTACATCTCTTGCAGTAATTAATGATTTCTGTACCTGCTGATTTTACATGCTACAAAATCGCTGAAGAATCATTCCAGCCTCTCCTCCCACTGATTATAGAATGAAGCAATGCTGTACTTTCCCCAAGCTTGCTCTGCGGTACTTTCAGTTGTGTATTTTGTGCAAGCGAGGGGGAGGTGTTCATGCTCTCTGGCTGTAGGGACCTTGCTGAGGAGCTCGAGCCTTGTGATACAGGAGAGGCAGGTTGCTATCTTCAAACCTTTAATGTTAGAATCGATACGACTTTCAAGTGGACAGCTGACGGGTACTGATCAGAGACCAGCTTTTTCTAACTTCGTATTATTTTAGTTGCAGTATCCAGTGTACTGGGACCACCTCGAGTTCTGTGATGGATTCAGAAAACTCTTAGACCACCTTCAGCTGGATAAAGTGAGTGCTCAGAGATGGGGAGATGGACGTATAGTTGCAGTAAAACCTAATGTTTGAAAGAGTCTCATATTTTAGACGCTTGCTCTTAAATTACACAAAAATAGCCTATAAATAAAGAGGCTGTGTTGCAATTTTACTTTTGAAACAAGTTTACTTTTGAAGGTGAATACCCTTGAAAATTGTCATACTTGGCCTAAATTCAACTGCTGTTCCAGGCCTATTAAATTGTATTGGTTAACTAGTTTTTCATGAGATCCTGTGGAAATTATCCTTCTGAACTCATGTAGTACAGAATACCACAATAAAGTATCTTGGATTGGAATAGCTATTGAAGACACGGTAAAATGTTTGCTTTTTTCTTAATCTTGATGAGCAAACAGAAATTTGAACTGTGATCTGGAACACTTCCTTTTTTCAGTATTTCTCACATTTATATCACATATAAAACCAGAAGCTGAATAGAAGAGTTTAATTCTTTTAAAAAATGGCTTATGAGGACAAAACTTGAATGACTTATTTTTGTAATGAAATGTTGTGCTTAGGGGTCACTTATTTCACAAGTGTAACATGATCTGGTTTTTTATCCTTGAATTAGGTTCACCTTTTTGGAGCTTCTCTGGGAGGCTTTCTGGCTCAGAAATTTGCTGAATACACACACAAATCTCCCAGAGTTCAATCTCTGATCCTGTGTAATTCCTTTAGTGACACTTCTATCTTCAATCAGACATGGACAGCAAACAGGTAAGGAAGACAAAGACAAGCGATCAGATGCGTAGCATTAATTTTTTTGGAATGAAATGTCACGCTGATCTGGTTGGACATGTGTCTAATCTGTTTCCAGCCTGGGTGAGGGAGGTGCGGGATGGAATACTTGTGACTTTTAAAGCCAAGCCACAAGGAAAATGGAAATTTTCACAATTAGGAGTGTGGAATTTGACAGACGAGTCATCCTGTGATCCTCTGCACGTGTGGTCAGATTTAAGAACTCTGCCTGTTTTCTAGCAAAACCATTTAGAGTCAGGAAAGTGTTATTCACCATGTTTAAAATACACTCTTGCAATGTAAGACTAACAGCATCCCAGAGCATTTCAAGCACCTAGCTGCAAGGTTTTCCATCTCTGCTCTTGAAGCTTCTTCAGGATTTCATTTGAAGTTAAAGCACGAAGTCTGTGCAAGGAAGGGGAGCGCTTACAACAAAGCATCTTATTGTTAGAGTCTGGGGTGCTTGAAGGCTGTTACATCTTGTTTCTATTTTAGCTTTTGGCTGATGCCTGCTTTTATGCTGAAAAAAATTGTCCTTGGGAATTTTGCATCTGGTCCTCTAGATCCTGAAATGGCCGATGGGATTGATTTCATGGTGGACAGGGTAGGTAGCTGTGTACTCTAATGGCTGTGATGTCGATCTCTGTAGATTTCCTTAGCAGGAGGCTGTAGGTATTTCTGCTGCTTGCTTCATTTACTTACCCAGAAGGGAGGATTAAGGAATGGATCTTTAGCCCATGTTGACTGTCATAGCCCCAGCAATTTAACTGGTGCTGTGACCGTCTACCTTATGGTTCTGTTTATTTATGTAGATCAGAAGAGAAGTAGTGAAGAAACTGAGGTGGAAGAGGGGAAAGTGCTGGGATACGTCTGTAGGCCATGCTCTGGAGGCAGGAGCTCTGATAGAACATGTTTTAAGCATTTGTCTCATGCAGAGAGATACTAAGTTGGAACTATAATCTGCATCTGAAGTGCAGTCATGTTTCCCTTTAAAACTAACTTCTCTTTGGCTGTATTGTTAATACTGCATTAACTTCCTGCAGTGAAATGTGTTGTTAATCAGTGTTTCTCTCTACTGAAAGCTGGAGAGTCTGGGCCAGAGCGAGCTTGCTTCAAGACTTACCCTCAACTGCCAGAACTCTTATGTAGAACCTCATAAAATTCGAGACATCCCTGTAACCATTATGGATGTAAGTTAATCTCAATGTAATCCTTTTTTTTTTTTTTTTTCATCTTTTAAAAAAAACAGTTTCCTGCCCTTGGCAGGTGGGGCCTGGATATTCTGTTAGCAATATTTGCAGCAGCTATCTTCATATTTAGATAAGCCTTCTACTGACTGGGCAACACTGTGATGACTCTTCTGAGGTAAATTATGAATTGGATATTCCATGCAATAACACAGACATATGTTTATGTATCACAGAGTTAGCTTTCTAGCTGCTGATGACTAACATGTTTGCTTGTTTTCTGTTTTCGTTAATGCTGTTCCACAGAGAAGCTGAGAATTGCTTCCAGGAGCAGCATATATCCAGCCTCATTTAACAAGCAAAATCTGATTAGATTCAGAACTAACTGCTGTGACTTGTTACGCAGGTGTTTGACCAAAGTGCACTTTCAACTGAAGCAAAAGAAGAAATGTATAAGCTTTATCCTAGTGCCAGAAGAGCTCATCTCAAAACAGGAGGCAACTTCCCCTATCTCTGCAGGAGTGCTGAGGTTAACCTATATATTCAAGTGAGTCTCTGCATTCCAACCCAAGTTATTAATGTGTAGAGCTGAAACAGCATTAGAAGACTCCTTTTCTGTGCTTGCTCTTGTTTCTTAACCTGCCTGAGCTCTGTTCGCTCTGGCTCCCAGATCACTGATACAGAAGGGCAGGGCTGGGAGCAGCCATGTTCATGGAGGGCTGGATGTGGGGGTTTGTCTGTTGCCCGTTTCCTCTGTCCTCTCTCTGAACTCTTGTACTCCAGAGCCATGATTTCATCCTCACAGCAATTACTCAGAAGCAATGTTTCTTACCAAAACCTTGTGCTTCTACACCTGTTTCAGTGTTGTTTTTCGTGTCCGACAGATCCATTTACTGCAGTTCCACGGTACCCGTTATGCAGCCATCGATCCCTCCATGGTCAGTGCAGAAGAGCTGGAAGTCCAAAAGATCAGTCTTCACACCAGCAATGAGCAAGAAGAGCCGTAGATTTCGGAGTGCCGGTGGAAAGGAGGAATTGTTTGGTGGTCTTCCTGTGTACCATCAACTGTTCCCACTCTGCCTTTTTCCTTGTGTTGGCCGATTATCACTGTGTGATTCCAACAGGATCAATGTCAGTGAACTACCCGCGGACAGTAACCTCCAGCAGTGTAATGGGATAGATCTGTTTAATTTTTAGTCTTTGAATTCAAGGAAGCATCTTTGAAGACCACAGTTTTAAAAACAAAGACATTTTTGCTACCAAAGTCTTCACTATCATGTTCTTAAGCAGAACAGTATTTCTTTTTATATTTTTCACTCAGCTGTATATATTGCCACATGCAGATTGTGTACTTATAAGCTGACATATATTTTTGTTGAATATTTGGTTTGAAAGATGTTTAAGTGCCAATGTTGCCATCACTTATTTGCTTCATATGTTGTGTTGTAAGTTAGTTTCTATTTGAAATAAAGCGTTTGAATTTTTAACTTTCTTGCTGTTTAAAAATGGTTTTCAATAAAACTTCAATTTCAGCAAGTGTCTCTTGTTTTGACTACAAGAGAACAGCAGTGAAGCTTACCGCAGTCCTGCTTTACCTCTACAGGCACCCCTAGAAATTAAGAAAACCAGCATCTTCTGCTTGAATTCACCTCACGCTTTAATTATAAAGTTGCACAGGTTTAGCTCTAAGTAAGAATTACGTGGGGTTTTTTTAATAAAGAATAAGACATAACTTGCAAATTTAAGGGTAAAATCTGGATTTATTGAAATACAGACATTATTTTCCCCTTGAAACACTGTAAAAAATAAATACAAAGTATTACATGACAAATTAGTATTTAAGAAAACTGTCTGTCCTTGTCAGAGACTATGTAGATAACCAGTGACCATCCTTCTCTTACACTTTTCAAGCTGTAATCTAGGGATTAAAGAAGTTACCTATTTGATTTATGAATGGTACCTCTATGTTAATGTATATTTATAAACAGTGTATGTTAATGTACTTCTCTGAAACTTCTTGTGAAGAGTCAAAACATTAACGATCGCAACCCTTAAGGTTCCAAAAGGACCAAGCGGCAGCCTTGACTTTTCTTCTTCAATTCCCACCCTAACAGGGAAGTTATGAACACATCAAAGAAATACATGATAGACACCCCCCCCCAAAAAAACGTAAGTCAAGAACACTCCTGAAAACAAAGGCTTTCCCCTCAATAACTTAAAAAATTGACAGTTAAAAATCTATATACAAAAATGTGATGTAAACAAGTTACAGTAAAATAGTGTAGTATTTCCTGATACTCACGGTATGACGGGAGGCTCGCTCACTGAACTCTTACTACAGTCCCCAGACCACGCGCAACAGCTGATAAAAATCTCCCTTCTGTGTAAAGAGGCATTTTAGACCATTAGCGTTTGCTGACGCCCTCGTCGTTTCAGACCAAGAAGGAAGCAGCAGCGACGCCAGCTTTTTATGACAAGAAGCCCTTAAGTTGCAGCTACTTTCTGCTCAGCGGCAGAGCAAGCGTCTCTCCTGTAGCTCCAAGACCGGCTGCGGATGCACCGGTTGAAGGTGCCCTCCCGCTGCTACATTACTGTGCACTTCCGTGGGGAGGCAGAGTCTGCGTTTGCTTTTTTCCGAATGCTTTCTGTAAAAGAAAAGAGCATGTTCTGCTGCGCAGGAAGTATAAAGCCGTGGCAGGATGTGTTAATTTATCAAAATAAAAGGAAGAGAAAGAAATGACATGTAACGGTACCAAGGGGGCAGGGCAGGATGGCTTCTGGCGTGTGTGAATTGGCTTCACTGAAGTTTTCCTCTGTGCGTGTTGTGTAACCACAGAATTCAGGTAGTGCTCAGCGCGCGTTATTTGAAGGAAGACAAAAGTATTA